TCCCACCTCTGCCCTTCCTCTGGTCCGGTTGCAGCAGAAGGAGTCCCAGGCTCTCCATCCAGAACGGCTGACCTTTATTCAATATGTCTCTGCAGCAAAACGTTGCTCTGAAAACCGAATGTCATCGACCCTGAAGGCGAATAAAGGGGACGTGTTTTTGTTTTTATTAATTTTTTTTCTTTTTAAGATGTTAATAAATCTTTAAAAAAGGTTATTACGGTGAAATAAAGCTAATAAAATAACAAAAATGGAAATTGAGAAAGATTTTTGTTAACTGAAATAAAAACGTCAATTAAATGGAGAATTGACGTTTAGATGGAACTATATTGTGTATTTATGAAACTAAAACATACTGAAATAATTACAGATATAATTTGCACTTATTAATTTTATTTATTAGCCTATTGAACTGATGTAAAAAAAAATTTCCCCAGAACACGAGCAGTTTACATCAGCTGTCGGCGATTTATGGCACTCCACTAACGCTATTTGCAACAATTGGGAACAAAACACCAGAATCAGTTTGTTGTTCAACAATAATTGATAAAACAATAAAATTATATCATTCATTACCAACATAATCAGAATACTGTGACTTTTTTAAATTCTGCACCTAAAATTTTACCAAAGAACGGAAAAACTAAGTACTTCCATAACTAATACAAACTAAAAAACTAACTAAAGTAGTCAAAAACGTCTCAACGAAATAAAAATAAACTATAATGAAAAATCCAAAACTATCATAACTCAGGTTCTAGGACTGTAATTAATCAAAATGAATTTAATTTCAATTGAAAAATGTATATTGAAAAAATATTTTCAAGTCAAAAACCCTTTTTGCTGCTAAATTCTTTAATAAATAGACATGAGCTCAACAAAAAGGATATTTATTTATTTAATCTTTTATTTAGGTTATTCAACTATCAGACTGGTGAATGCTATTACACCCATTATAAATATTGACATTAATATTAGTGTGAACTTAATCTCCAGTCGGGGTGCCCTAGCGTGGCCCTGTGTCTAGCTACGCCCCTGGATAAGGTCGGCAGGTGTTATTTTTTTTCTTTGTTGTTCTTTAATTCCCACCAGAGAACCTCTCTGTAAGGCTGAAAATGCTGGTGAGTACCTTTTAATTATCATTATCTGTTTTTTAAATCATAAATCAGTCCATTGTGCTTCTTTTACTTCAGTTTGACCTATTTTTCATGAGCTACGAATAATATAATCGCTAAAATCCTCAATCTGCGGGAGCCTGCGCGTCCTCCGCCATAACTGAAGAGGAATTTCAACATGTAGGCATTTCCTGTCGCCGCACCTTCAGCATAAACCGCATTTTTTTTAAGAAACCGCAAACGGGACGTAAAGATCCAGGAGGACGGGACGCTTTGACCCGAAATCCTGCGCCGGTTTGGTGTTGAGGTCGGGATTTCTCTCTGTCACACTGAGGCAGCAGCATCCTCTCGGTAGGCTGACACGCGACGTCTTCCATTCAGAGAGAACGTTCTCTTGACGTGAATGACACCAGACTTCATTTAAGAATCACTCTATTTTTATTTTTAAATTAAATCTCGGTAAAAACTGCGGCTTGAATATAAACTTCATTAAATGTTTAAAATATTTGCAGTTAGGAGTTAAATTCGGCTTCTATTAAAAGCGCTGATTGGATGTAATTTTGCAGATTTTAATACTAATTTACACTCATCTAGGAAGCTTAAGACGTAAAAATTCAAATGTACGTTATTTATAGGTAACGTTTTCTTACTAGATGTTCAATTCAACCCAAATCCAAATTTAACCAACACATATTGTTCTGTTTTTTAGTGAAATGTTTAATTATTTATATTTAAAAGCTATTTTGGTAAATAGGAGTGAGTCAAGTAGCAGGACGCTGCTGGATAAATCGTTTTGTGACGCTCTGATCATTTATTTTCATATTTATGTGGCAGGGTTGCGCTTCTTGTCGCTGCTCTGAAACGTGCAGCTTGCATGACTTCACCCCGTTGACCGCATCCAAGGTCCTTCTGCTTCCCCCGCATCCCACAGCAAGCGTGGGACTCCTGCCTGCTGCATGCGTTTGAGATGTTGATTAAAAAATCCTAAACATCTATATTTCTTAAAAACCCTGTCCAGAAAGTGGATCACATTTTTTGACTGAAGTTTGGTATAGTTTATTTATTGTATTAAAAAAAAAAAGTAAAATAAATAAAAACTTCAGGAACGATCAGCCATGCAAATAGTTATTTTTATAAACTTTATTTGTTGGCCCTCATGTCAGGACCCTTGAGGAAGCCTATTATAAACTCTCTTCTCACCGCCAAACTGGTACAAGTTTGGAAATCTGATATGAGGCAGCATCTCACCAAGTTAGCAGAAATTACACAGACTGTTAGCGGAAACGAATCATTTTTTGACTTCAAAATAAAGCAACGACTCAAAGCAGAGAAGTACTTGCAGTGTAGTTAGGCTTTCAGTTGTGACGTTATTGTTTCACAGAATTTGGAATATTTTACAATGAATTGAAGGGAGGATATCTATTATTTCTTAATTTTATTAATTTGTCCAAAAATCTGTATCTGTTTATCTCCTTATCCAATAAAGCAACTAATGGATGTTTGGTAATGTGTGAAACTGATTTAATGATTTATAAATGAACTGAAATGCAGAACAGCAAGTAAGTTTGGACATGTATATAAAAGCTAATATTTCAAAGTTGTAAGTTGGAGAGATCTCTTAGCGACCTGACCCTCAAAATCCAACATGGCTGCCATAGCAAACGCAGCAGAAATTAGTATTTAAACACAAATACTAATTTATTTAGTATTGCTACTTCTACAGGATCTGTTTGTGAACATGACTGATAAACTACAGAGAAATAATGTCAGTTAGCTTTAGTCCCTTAGCCATTAAATTAGCTAATTAGCGATGCAGCAATGAGAGATTTTTGTTCTTGTAACTGTGGTGGACAAAGCAAAAAGTGGAGTAGAGTTTTAATTGTAGCTTTAATAGAACCTTATTATGAATTATTTTATTTTATCAATTCACTATTTAGTTAATAAAGATGATCAAGTAAGTATTAAAAATAAACTCAGCTTAAGTTTGAGCTCCATTTTTACCACCTGGTGAGCCATCGTGGTTGCTATAGGCAACAGGACATACCTGAATTTGAAGGTTACTTTAAAGGACAGTGAAAAAACAAATTATAGTTATTAGCTGTTATTTTTATCATAGGCAGCCATGAGATTTTAAATTCAGAAACACACAATTATAGATTTTCCCAATGACTGAAAACCATTTGATGTCTCTGAACTGGTACAAGTTCAAAGTTTAAGTGTTTAAGTGTAAAAAATACCACATTAGCTAGCAAAGCTATGCTAACATTTTCTTCCAAACATATTTGGGTAAAAGGTAGAAGCTCCTTGTTGGCTAATTTTTTAACCATCAAAACTCTGTGTATATCCACAAAAAGCGTTTTAATGTATTTTACGTTTATCTTTAAAGGAAGAGTTAACGCTTTTATTCTGAAGGTCTTAGCCGGAAGTTGTGTCTCGTGGGCGTCCTACCTTGACGCCGTCGGCAGCGCGCATTGAGTTGGAGCAGCTGATCTCGCTCTTGACTTCCAGGGCTAAAAATAATCCCCTGTGTTAACTCTCCAACTCTCACTGTATTTTGTTTCTTCTTCTTCTTCTTCTTTTCTCTGTCTGCTGTATTTTTAAAATTAAATTTCAGCCGGAATGAAACGGTGCCAGTCGGGATAATCCCTTTATTCCCAGGTAAGACACTTTTCTTATCGAAGGTTTAATAAATTTTCTTAATTTTAGCAACTCTGTTGAGCTAAAAGTGCGTTAGCTTTGTGAATTATTTTGGTTATTGAAGTGTAGAACTGTTTGTGTTGGTAAATTAGGCTGGAAGTAAATGTTGTTCTGATAAAACCCCAGATATTAATGTTCCATTTAGTTTATCTAACTATCGTCAAGTTTTATTTATTTAAAAATAATTCGCTTTATTAAACGTGGAAAGTGGATAAGAATAAAGATGGAAACAAAGAATAAAAAAATGACTTAGAAATGACAATTTTAAGTGATTCAAACGGGAAACTGTTTAAAAATAGTTTAAATAAATTAGATTAGTATCTTGTTGCTTATTGATTTTGGGGGGGAAAATCCACTTGTAATTTTTCACTGATCTGATTATTTATAAATAAAAACATTTAGATGAAGAAAACGGGAAGAAGTTCCAATTTAAAAAATACTGACAAACTATGTTTGCTAGAGAAAAACCCAAAACAATATCATCCATCCATCCATCCATCCATCCATCCATCCATCCATCCATCCATCCAGTAACACTGATATTTTGTTATAAATGTAAATTAAAAATGGCCACCATCTTTAGCTCAGCTTCAAACTCTTTGCTACAGTAAAACGATCCAGTAGATCCCTTTGTGTTTTGTCATCTATTGTCAGCAGGTTCTTCAGTTCCAGACGACTTCCTGGTCCAACACACCTGAGCGAACATCCTTCGTCCTGCTGATGACCTCATCGTTTAACTCAGGTGTGTTGAATCAGAGATGGATCTGAAAGTTTCACCGGCCCTCCAGTCCTGAAATCAGCAGACCCCTGATTTACACTGTCCTAAAATATCTCTGACGGCTTCACACGGCTGAGTGTCATGCCGGTGTTGTGACGCTCCATGGCAGTAAAACGCTGACCTGACGGATTTCTGTTTCTGCCAGTCTGACTCCGGGTCTGGGAGGAACCAATGGCTGCTGGCATGCCGCTGTCGTTTTGTGGCGACAAGTTTCCCAGTGCATACGGCATCAACGCCAGTGTGCTCAACAATGGCTGCTTCGTGGACGCCCTCAACCTGGTTCCTCACGTCTTCCTGCTCTTCATCACCTTCCCCATCCTCTTCATTGGTAGGGCTGTCCTCCTCTTCCTCAGCGTTTGGAATGTGTTCAGGATGGGAACGGGATGGTGGCAACAATCTGGATCCTCTAGAACAGGATCTGGTTTCTGTGCCCCCTTCGAGTTGGGTGGGAAGGTTCTGGCCGTCGGTCCAGCTTGGTGTAATCTCCACAAGGCAGATGTGCAGTTGGCATTAACTTCCTGTTTTTACCCGCCACGCTGTGAGAACTTTAAGCAGCTTTAAAGTGTGGCTGAACCAGGATTACTGGAGTTTAGAGATCTGCTGGAGATGAATCAGTTGTTGGAGAAAATGTCCCAAACTGAGCCTAGCTTGACACGATGTTGTTGCTTTTTGGTTACCTTAAAGGGGCAGATTTATGTGTTTCCAACTATTTTACCTTTAGTTGTCATAAAAATGCTGTGTATCAAATACAGAGGTTGTTCTCAACTAAGAGCAGCACTACTTCAACATATTTTTACTCAGGTCAGAGTAAAAAGTAGCCATGCAAGAAATTACTCGAGTAAAAAAGTATTTGGTAAAAAGTCTACAGAGTAACTGATCAAATGATCAATCATTTAATATTTAGAGATCATCATCATCAGACGGACCAAAGTGGAAATTTTGGTGCTATTAAGGACCAACATAGCAACAATTCATATAAGTAACAAAAAATAAAGTCAGGCAAAAAACAACATTTTTCCAAATTATTTTCTTTCAATGAAAAACTTACGAAACGTTAACAAAAACTGCAGGTGTATATTTGTGTCTGGGTGTTTGCTAATTGCTGCTGGCTAGTCTGAAGGAGCTGAGTGGGGGAGGAGCTGCGCCTCGAAGGCGGGGCTAGGTCCAGCCAGGCGTTTTCAGAGCATCCGTCTTGTCTTCCAGGTTGGGGCAGCCAGAGCTCCAAGGTTCAGATTCATCACAACACATGGCTTCATTTCCCCGGACACAACATGCGGTGGATCCTCACCTTCCTGCTGCTCTTCGTCCATGTGTGCGAGTTCGCAGAGGGCATCGTCTCCAACACGTCAGTCTGCAGGACGACTAGCATCCGGAGGACATTTTGTCCCCTCATGGATACTGACAGTCTTTACTTTCTTGCAGGACAATGACCTCCAACCACCTCCATCTCTTCATGCCTGCCTTCATGGGTTTCATCGCTGCAACAACATCAGTTGTTTACTACCACAACATAGAGACGTCCAACTTCCCCAAACTGCTGCTGGGTAAGATTTCTCACTATTTGAAGTTAAATCACATCAAAATTCTCTTTTTTTTAGGTCAGAAATGTGTTTATTGATGTCTTTGTGATCAGAAGTTTACATCACATCACATAATCTGCCAGAGTTAGCCAAATAGGCTAGTTTTCATCTGTACACCCTCAGGGTACAACCAATATAAATATGATATATTACAACAAATAATAAGAATAAAAGCATCTAACAGGAGCATATCCAGTTATCTGCCAACTTGGGCTGAAAGGCCGCTCAGCGAGGAAGAAGCCGTTACCCCAAAAGAAACAGTTCAAATGTCCACAGAGACAAACAGCTTCATTGTTGGAGACAAGATGAAACTAAAGTGGACATAAAGGCCATCATGACCTTTTTAGGAAACAACGCTTGAACCAGCCCAACTGAAGGTGAGTGGAAGTATTGAAGCAACATCTAAAGACGCTACCAACACCGAGGAGATGTATGTAAACTTCTGACCTCAGAGACATGAATAAATAAATCTGACATTTTCTTTCTTTCATTATTGTTTCTTTTAGCAAATAGAAATAGTTTAGCTAC